CAAGAGGATATGTAGAAAAATGGAAGGAGGTAGATGTATGAGAACAGGCTGTGCTGTGCTTGGCCGTCTTGTACTGAAGAAGCAAGGTGGCCATGCAACGTCTGCGATCCTTGGGCTGCTGCCCGGGTAAGCAAAGGTGTGACTACCAACCCACATACCTCCGCTGGTAAACCCGCGATGTATCCCCCGACCGTCGTATAGTCATGCCTGCAAGCACTCGCAAAAGTAACAACTGGCATCGGGAAGTCAAGTGACGTGGGCAAAGTGTGGCACTTCTTGGGTTGCTGCCCCGGGGTTTTTGTGTTTACCCCGAACTTCCTTGGTCCCATGGCCCTCGTGCTTTTTGTGGATGATTCTTGGGTTTAGCACGAACCCATTGTGTCAACAGTTTGGAAAACTGTGCGTCTGCAAGCGGGTGCAGCAACGGTAGAACAAACATACGTCTAAATGTGGGCGCGTTGGGCACTTGCGCTGTGGGTAATAACAACGCGGCGCATTGTCGCCGAAGCGCTGCGGCTGACGTAAGGCCCTCCCGATTCCCAACACCAGTATGCCCCCCCCCAGCCCCCACCCCAAGTGTTTTGTGTGAAATCTGGCCGTGCAGAGCTTGGTTGTCTGGTGCTACAATAAGGAGGCTGGCAGCGCGGGTTAGCAATCCTTGGGCTGCTACCCTTGTGGGCAATGATGTGATAGTACGATGCTTTTGTTATGCTGAATTAAGTAGCAACGCAGCGCATGCAATCCTTGGCCTGCTAACCTTGTGGGCAAAGATAAGTCAGATGGCTGCGCTACGTCAGGCTGGCTCGCATTGCAGCAACTGCTGGCCAGCAGGCTTGCAATCCTTGGGCTGCTACCCTTGTTGGAGAAGGCAGGAGGAATAATGAGTCGAACGTATGCAAGTAGGAGAGGGGGTACTGAGCGCTAGGCTGTCGGTAGCCGGTAGCCCACAGTGGGAGTACCAGGGCACTCCCCTACCGCCGTGCCATTTAGGATATAAGGGCAGCACTGTATGGACAGAGCCGCTGTCAATGCAAGCGCATGATCAAAGGAGTGGTATCGAATGGTGCCTCTGCCGATGCTGGCAGCCAGCTGGGGAGATGGGAGTTCTGTCGCTGGCCCCTTGGCCTGCCGACTGGAGTAGAGGGAGGGATGATCAGATGTCTATGTTCAGCGGTGGTCGAAGCACAGATGGTACGTGTGGTCGATGTCGTGATGTTGCCCTGTGTACCACCGTGGTTGTGCTGAACTGTGTATTGTATGGTCGGTCACGCGTGTCTGCTGCTGTCGTTCTGGTCCGCCTTTGGCATGAATTTCGGTGGTGCCTTGAATCGTCGTGGCGTTGCCTTGTATGGTGGTGCTTCCTTGAAGGGTGCGCCTTGCTGGCTGCTGCGCGTGTGCAGGCTGGCGGGGTATTGCCCGTATCGTGTCTGGTGTGGTTGTAGTGTGTATTCGTGGAAGCGTGGGGCCCCAGTGTCGCGTGCAAAGATGCGCCCACGACTGTCGGTCAAGTTGTGTTGCTCGTAGATGGCATGTATAGGGGACCCTTGGCGTACTTGAGCTGGGAAGTATATATATATATAGGGTTGAGTATGTCTGTGGCGCGAGGCGGTGCATCGGTACCTCTTGCAGCCATCGCTGCGTCAAAACGTCCTCGTAGGGCGGGCAGACAAGTGTAAGTTTGAGCATTAGGGGTGGTGGGTGCACGGGTATGGCGACCCTTATTGTGGGTGAACATGTGGTGATGGCTTTCGTGTGAGGTACAGCAGGCGTGTTTGCGGTAGAGCTAGGTGTTAAGGATGGTGCGGGTGGTCTTTGGTAGTGGTTGTGTTTTTTGATGAAGTAGATGGATGGTAGTGGTGGTGTTTTCTTTTAACGGGTGGTGTATGCTTGGTCGGGGGTGGTGCAGCAGGTTCTGCTGGCCTGTCGACAGTCGCGCTGGTGGTTGTTGGCATGTCCTCTTTGTTTGATTGAGGTAGTATTGGTGGTGTTGTTTTGGCAGGTGGGGTGTGCGTGGTTAGAGGTGGAGCTGGTGGTGCTGCTGGTCTGTCGTCCGTCGGGTTGGCGGTTGTTGGCGCGTCCTCTTCGCTTGTGTTGTAGTTGATTGTCAGTGGCGTGGGCCTCGCAGCACTGGGGGGCGCCGTCGGTTGTTTCTGTTGCGAGAGCGCAGACGCGTCGTAGATATTGACCGCCCAGTCGTACTTCATTGCGTTGTCGACGTCGGGGCATGTATTGCGCCATTGCGCTATTTCCTGTATCGTTGCGATCTTGTTGTGGTTAAGTGGTGCTTGTCTACCTGTCATTAGTGTTTGAAAGTGCTGGCTGGTGGTAGTTACTGCGAAACGGAATGCCGCGCTGGTGCGGTAGTAGCCCGCAAATGCGTCCATGTCGTTGCCGTATCGGAATGGGGTGAGACGTTGTGGGGGCTCGGGTGGAGGCATGAAAGTGTCGGCGTGTGCGGCGTCCTTTAATTTGGGGTTTTTGGTTTCGGTAATGGGTGGTGGTTGGACGGTCGAGAGTGGCGTTGCTCTTGTGTCGGGTCGTAGTGCGGGGTGCGGTAGGTGTTGGTCCCCGTCCTGATGTGCGAAAAGCTTATTCATGAACTTGTCCAGGTACTTGCTCTACCCAGGTAGCAGTAGATGGTCGTTGGGGAATATGTATGTGTAAGTATTGGAGCGTTCGTGGTAGTATAGTGCGTGGTGCCATCGGTCGTCGTCGTAGCAGCCAGCGTCCGCGTCGCTGGCGTGGTGGCGAAAAGTTGCCCAGCCGCTCGGGCAGTCCATGCCGTGGTATTTGTTCGGTGGCAGTGAGGTGAGATGGAATTCATGTGTGTCTGCCGCTCCGTTCATCTTGGCCCATGGGCCGTCGTTGTCTATGTTGGCTTCGGAGTCTGTAGACTCGTGCAGTAAGCCGGGTATGTTTCTCCAAGGATGGCGGGGAGGCGTGGGGCGGGGTTGTTGTTTATTCGGCGGGGAGCGAGGGGGGGAAGTGAGAAGGAGAAGGCCTTCTCAGAAGGCTCGGAATCCCCACGGCCTTCTGAGAAGTTTTCTTCTAAACCTTCCCCGAGGACAGAAAATACTTCTCAGAAGGCGCGAGGGCTTCTGAGAAGTCCCGCCGCCTTCTGAGAAGGCCTTCTCCTTCTCATTTCCCCCCCTCGTTCGCCGCCAGTTTATGTTGGCTGTGTAGGTGGGGTCGGTGTATGTGCTGGTGGGGGTGGCGCGCACCCGCAGCTGGCCTCGCGCCTTACTCTGTCTTGTTCTGTTTTGTTGCGGCTCGATTGTCAAGGCAGGTGCGCGCTGCCGTGGTGGTGTCATTCGTGCGCGCCCCGAGCAGGCGCGTCGTAGGTTGTCCTCGTGCTCGCAGCGTCCCCTCTCCGTGTCTCGAGTCGCCGCGGATTGGCCTGGTGCGAGGCTGTGGTGTGGGTGGTCGGCCGGAATGTCAATGGGACTCCCGACCCCGTCTCGCGTTCTGGTTTAATTTGGGCGGCCGGAAGTCGAAAGTGTGGTCCGCCAGGGTTGGATATTTCAAGCGTGGGTTGTGAACGCATGAAGTTTGGATTGCGCTCGTGGTGTGTGATGTGCCCGCTGGAGTACAGGACCAGTATGGGTTTGGGAAGTATGTGGTCATTATGCGGGGCCACATGGGGTTGTCATACGTCGATGCGGTCAGCTAGTAGTGCGATGGGGGAGTTGGCCCCTGACACGTGCCGCACCAGTCCATTGGTTTAGTAGCTTGTGTTCGCACTCTGATCGGTCTTGTAGCTCCACATCTTCTGGTTAAAGGTATGTGGTGTGTGGTGCAATGTGTTTCTCTGCTAGTATATCATGCATGTGGCCCAGGGTGGGTGTAGTGTTGATGCTCCTGATGTGTGGAGTGCATCCGCTAGGTAGTTGGTTAGTGGGAACAGCTCCGAGTCTAAGGTGACGTTGTTTTGAGGGTCGGTCATGGGAACGATGAATGCGGTTTGGTCGTCATGGGTGAACTTGGTGCGCCTGCCGTAGTCTTCGTCCATCTGGAATTCGTGCCTCTCGTCGTGTTGCTGGTAGTAGATCTTGTACAACGTCTCCCTCAGGCTTTTTTCGGTGCAGTCTTCGTTGAAGTTGGCGTATCTTAGTCGTGCAATGTTGTTGTCGATGTCGCTGCTGAGTTTGTCACAGGTGAGGTGGATGAGCGGCCGTCGTCGTGCGTCGCGTTGGGTTTCTTCGCTGTCGTCGAATGGCTGGTGGTCATGGCGGTGGTCGGTTTTCTCTGTAGCAAGGTATGCAGGCTGGTTTCCGTGACCAGTGTGTTGTGACGTGGGTGTGTGAAGAATGAGTCTTCCAATTGTCTAAAGCTTGTTGGAGTCGCTGCTGTGCTAACATGAAGTATTGTTTGTTTGTTGATGCCTGGCAAGTAGCCGATCGTGATATGGGTCTCCTTCTTAGTGCGTGCCCACCCTTTGGCGGTGGGTACTGGTGCGAACTCGAATCCCAGATGTAGTGAGATGTACACGTAGTATTTGTCAATCCTTGCGTCGTTCATCTTGTCTTGTCTTGCTTCTTGGGGTGTACTTGTACCCGTAGTACTTGGTGCTGCGTTTGTGCCGTACTGTGTGGGCGTCGCCATACGCAACAGCTCCGGTTGCGCGTTGTTTGCTACGTGTTCTGAGTAGTGGTGGTAGGTAGTCGTTGCCGTAGTCCTCGTAGCGGATGACCAGGGAAGGAAGGTACATGAATTTGGTGGCGTTGGCCCACTGGTCGACATGTATAGCCAACGTGTCGCCTGCCGAAGGTATGTATGGCGCTTGCTGTGGTAGCATGGCGCCTAGCTCGGTGAGAGCTGCGAGCATTGTAGAAATCCCTTGTTTGAGCCTGACTGCTACGGTAAACAAAATTGCAGACTCGCATGTGTATGCAGCTCCATATGTAGCACATCTTGTTCACCAAATAGGAGTTACCTTGACGTGCCACAGTAGTTGAGGTATGTGAAATCAAGTCCTCCTCTTCCTCCTTCTCCCGTGGCAG